CGTGTAAACCACGTAGAAAATCTTCAAAACAGATTAGTCAAATTCCAGAAATCTAGGATCAAAAAATTGAAAAAACGGCCGTTGCAAAATTATACGACATAGCAGAAATTTTGACAATTTTTTTACTTCACTAAAATTTTTCCAAACTACTCCACAGTCGTAATAGCACTGTATTGTAGGTGAGCAGGCCACGATTCCGTACCTTATCTGAGGAGCTTATCCGACATGTTATCTGCCAATATTGTATCCTAATCCTAGTGCGTAATTTTTCGAGTAGCTTCTTCTGCAGGAGATGTATGGTATTGTGCCGATTTTTCCAGGAACAAACACTATGGGCAGGAATGCCCCATGACTTTTCCATCGGATTTAGACCTTGCTAAAAAGTAGACCATCCGAGTGAATCTTCATGGTAGGCTACAAAGCAAGTGTAAGCCAGCTCAGCAGCATGAATATCAGCGCTGTACTGCTGAGAAGTACGCCAATGATGACGATTCTGCATCGTAGACGGTAGAACGCGATGATTGAGCCACTTATTGGTAGTCGGTGGGGTCCCTTCCGTTGAACCATGAAGACCACGTCTAGCTTGCCATACCAACTGTAGGTTGTGCGCTTACCAAGCTCATCTTCGAGAGGGAGATGGAATTTCCGCTCGAATCATCTTTGCACTAGTGCCACCTATCTGGCTGACTCGGAGAAATATTTTCTTTCTTCGAAGAACTACCTGCAAAACCAACAACAAATAAGTTGTTTGGCATCTCGCCCCAAGTGCAATCTGTACGAATTGTAGCCTACCATGAAGATTCACTCGGATGGTCTACTTTTTAGCAAGGTCTAAATCCGATGGAAAAGTCATGGGGCATCCTGCCCATAGTGTTTGTTCCTGGAAAAATCGGCACAATACCATGCATCTCCTGCAGAAGAAGCTACTCGAAAAATTACGCACGTATCTAGGATTAGGCATACAAAAATTGGTAGATAACATGTCAGATAGGCTCCTCAGGGTGAAGGCGTCTCAAGGCGAATCCGTGGCCTGCTCACCTACAATACAGTGCTATTACGACTGTGGAGTAGTTTGGAAAAATTTTAGTGAAGTAAAAAAAATTGTCAAAATTTCTGCTATGTCGTATAATTTTGCAACGGCCGTTTTTTCAATTTTTTGATCCTAGATTTCTGGAATTTGACAAACTGCTTGAAGATTCTCTTTGTAGGTTTCTTTACACGCTGAATCGAATGGCATTAGCCATTTTCGTGCTGAGTTTCTCGTAACTTCAGAAACCCAAAATTTGGGGTATGTCGTATAGTTTTGCAACGGAGTGTATATGTATGTTGTTCTACATGGTTCCAATCACCAGAAGTAGTATAACATTTCATTTTTGGCTTCAAGAACCCACCCATATTCAATCGTGAAATTTGCCTTTAGGTCAGTAGTGCGAGCTATTTGTGGTCGCGACGCAAAGGGCCTATGTGGTTCGAGTGCATGGCGTATTCCTCAACAATTTCAGGTATTCAGTTTTGCTGAACTTGGGCAGCCGAAATAAGCGGATGAAAGTAATCTTTTCTTGAAGACCAATAGACGGATTCAAAGTTTGATTGATAATGTAATCACGCTAAAGTCGTAGTACAACAGAAGTCACACATATGAGTAGATCCAAAGTCCAACAGCTCATCAACTCTTCAATGAGAAGAATGAAGGCTTGCTTCATGGGACAGATAGTCTACGAAGCTGTTGCAGAGCCTCCTATCGCCTGAAACCTTTCATTGGGCGCTGTCAGTCGGAAGGCTTCAGTTGAAGTCAGAAACGTGAACGACGGTGAAACCCGCTCAAAACAACGGACAAAAAGGGAAGAAGCCGAATTTCAGTATTGAAAGTGCACCTCGACGCAATTTGCTTGACTCTAATTCGAATTTGAATCATATAAATAACTTCACGTTGCATATACCTGCGAAATTTGTAGCTTAATGAAATATTTTCACAGGTTGATGTTTTTTGACCATCCACTACAAACGTTTTGAAGCAGCAATAAACAATGGCAGGGTTGATATCGGAGGAATTCATCCATGAGAGAATGGAGTTGGGAAAATAATGAATCAATCATGTGTTGATCGAATTTCCACCCTGGAGGCTCTGTTCTTCCTATTTTCCCTTGTCCTTCAAGTTTTTTGGACACCACTTGGAAACGACTCACAAAACGGAGTCGCCGTTAATGCTTGAACAAAGGACATCTAATGATAAAGAGAGTAGCACACAGGATGAGCCAACGGCAAGTCTCGAAGTGTTGTAAGGAAGGTGGGAAACGAGTAGAGTTTGGTAGAATGTGTGTGCAAAGAAAATTTCACAAGATTTGAGAGATGGATTCAGGTCTTTCCCCAAAGATTTCTATGAAGAATTTGGGAAAGTTTCTGTGCACACAAATTTTAATGCATGTTGATTTTCGCCACTTTGACCATAAAGGGTAATCATAAGATCCGACACCGCGCACACTAGATTTCTTTCTTTATTTTTATTTTATTTTTTTTTCATTTTTTTTTGTTTTTCCATGTTTCCCATTCGTTTATGTTGCCCTCTGCGAAGCTCTGGATCGCTAACTCCAACACTCATAGACTTTCTTTTCAAAAGACAATCAAATAGTGAAGTCTCTCTTATCTTTAGTTGACCACATGGCGTTTCGGCGCTCAACGTTCGAACTTGGTTGGAATGAACAGGTGGCAGCACCGTTCGGCAGAGTACAGCGTAGCGAAACTTTCCCGAATGGGCCGAATCGAAGAAGGTCAAGAATAGTACTGCTATACGCTCGACTGGTTTCTGGAGTGCTGGGGGTTCGAAGCCTACAAAACTGCTCAGAAATCTAGAATACCCACGGATTCTTTTGATAGGGTCCAATACCTGAACTTGAAAGCACCTGCTTGGGGTGCCACGACGAAAGCCCCCGAGCAATTTCGGATTCTGCTTTTGAAATTGTTTGAGGTATTTCGAAGTGCACGTTGATCATTGTTCCTTAGTTGATAGTCAGTCGGGACTTAAACTTATTGTTATTCAGCAGATCAGACGTTTTTTGTGAGTTTCAGTTACGTCGCCCACGTGATGTTTGCCGTGTATAGCTCTTCTTCGCGCCCATTGAACCTTGTAATGAGTTTATGGGTTCAGGATTTGGGAGCAAGAGTGACTCGGCGATCAGTCTACGCGTAAGTGAAGTAAAGTTTTTCGGTAGGCTTCTTTAATGGAGCTGAAAGAACGAGCAACCTTTGGAGAAACAGAAGCTAACCATATGCGCAAAGTTGCCAAGTGGGTCACGTTGGGACATGTGGGATGCAAATTACTATCAATTCAGTGCCACCCAAAGTGGTCAGCAATCACGTCAACCCAGTCACTTTCATGTGAAGCAAAATGTATAGTGTGCAAAGCATTTCATAAAAGTGGAACTTCAACTTTATGTGAAAATTTCATTCATCATTGCTGAACTCGATTTTTTCTGAAAAAAAAAAGTGCAATTGAAGTGCATTTTGTGAGTAGGTAGTGGTTGTAGAACAATGCTCTACGTACTCCCAGTTCTTCTCTCGAAGTGAATTACATGAAAAGTTATGGAATTTCTCGAGCACATAATCTTCATGAAATTATGGCTCCACTAAACTTCTTTTAGAATCTTAATTGAAGTGGTCTTTCCATTGTTCCCCACCTAGACAATCGTTTTTGAAGGGATCCAATATGTTGGACAATTTGCTCGTTTTGATTTGATAATGGCCACATCAGAATACACAATTTTTGTTGGGCTACGTGGTCAGTAGGATCTAATGCAACCGCTGTACATCTAAGTTTATCTGTCAGAGTATATTTGTGCAGGACTTGTCTGCGTAAAAAGAAGCATGTGCTACGGTAGGCGTTTTTGCTAGTGCGTGATGAACAAATTATTACATTCAATACTGGTTAAGATGGTAAACAGAGGTGAATGAAAACGCGTAAGAAGTTCGGTTAACAAAGAAAATATAGGCATCCTATTCTTTTATAGATGGGTACCGTAATACAGTGGATGGAGGGGAGGTTGTGATGGGTGGCGACACAGATGCGCTATTCTGCTTCTTTATACTTGGTCGATTGCTGCCAATCAGGATTAATTGGAAACTCGAAATCTCCAATTATATTATATCACGCATGTAGCCTTACAGAAGTGGTGGTGCTGTAGGTATGAGCTCTGATCGGCTACTGTTCCTGAAGAAATCATGACAAGGGAAGACCAGTGGCATTGGAAGGCTTTCTTAGTAGCGGTTTTCGAAGGCGTTCCCTACATTGCGGGCTAGCTGGCCAAAAGGAAAGAAAACGCTGACTTTCTGACTTGGTGATCATAGTCATAATCACAAGACCAACTCATATTAGAAGCCCAATGAGAACGAAAGTGGAGTGCATGTGCGTAGTGCTTCTCAAAAACCCCGAGCAGCGCAAAGCGATTATTTGATTACACATAATTAATCTAATTGACCGATTCTACGTGTTTTGCCTTCAATAAGGGCAACAGAATGTCGACAACACCCACATAATTTTTGAAGATCTTGTCCTCCGCCAAGTACAGCCAATAATGTCATGCCCTAAAACATAACACAGGCTAATTTCTCGTGGTTATATGGTTGTTGCACTTCTCCATAATAACGCCAATGAAACAAAATAATATGCTATCGAAAAAACAGCCTCACTATCACTTACATAAGGAGACGTGTTTCTTCCTAAAGTGAGGGCACAAAACATCGCGTAGGGCATGGCTGCCGCACAACGTGGCTCTCTCCGTTTTCCAGGGTTCTGTCTAGGCGTACGGCATGTGACCAGCTCGCACAATAGCCCACTTGCGTGGCTCGTCTTTCGAACCGAAGATCAAAAATGAGCAAGAGTGTTTGATAACAAATGAGAAAGCGAATAAGCAACTGGATTTAACGGAAGTGGAAGTAAATAATTTTAAAATAAACGGACCTCAAAGTCAATGCAGTACAGAAGTGCAGTAAAAGTGTGTATAAAGCTATAGCTGAGGTTACTGAAGCTCTGGATTTTGTAAGAGATTGATCCAGATTTTGCGGCATTTCAAGCACAAGTAATCTCGTTAACGCAGCAAGACCAGACGTCATTAGACAGCAGAGGGAGAATGTTGACCAAGGTGTTTGCTATTACTTAGGGCTGATTTGATAGAAGCCACAGGAGAGGAAGTAGATTCCCTCAAAAAAATTACATTATGTATTCATTGCTAAGAGGTTTCCCTTTCCAAACCTCCTCTGGTGCTTAGGCCTAGCTTTTCGCGATGTCCCATCAAAGCAAGAATTGGATCGCTCGACCGTTCCTTTTTGGATGTGCCAGGCACTCTACAAATGCTCAAATTCGAAACTGCTGTGTGGTACATCAATGCTATAATAAC